GTCGCTGACGCTCCCGGCTCGCCTTTCTTTCGTTTGATAATCGTGGCGCGATTCGCTTGACATCGCCTCCGCCTTTGGTGTACTACCGTGGTAGCACACTAGTTCACAGGCCTTATCATCCCCGGCGACTGCAGCCGTGTTCGTCCAGGTCAACGCTTCGAACGGCGTCCCCGTCTACGACCAGATCGCCCGGCAGGTGGCGTTCGCGGTCGCCGACGGCGTGCTGACGACCGGGGACCTCGTGCCGAGCGTCCGCGAGCTCGCCAAAGAAATCGCCGTCAACCCGAACACCGTCGCCCGCGCGTACCGCGAGCTGCAAACGCAGGGCGTCGTCGAACCGGCGCCGGGCATCGGCTTGGTCGTCTGCGCCGGCGCGCGACGCGCTTGCCAATCGCAGCGACGGTCGTTGCTGCGTGAACGCGTCCGCAGCATGCTGCGTGAAACGCTCGACGCGGGCCTGCCGCCCCACGAGGCCCGTGACCTTGTCCTCGGTGAACTCGACAAGATCGCCCCTCCTCAATAACCCCTTTCATCGCTGAACCCCGTCGGAGACTTTCAGTGAACGCCGCGATCCAGATCAAAGGGGTCACCAAACGCTTCGGCCGCCACACGGCCGTCGATGACGTGTCGCTCAACGTGCCGCGGAGCAGCGTCTTTGCACTCCTCGGTGAGAACGGCGCCGGCAAGACGACGCTCGTGCGGATGCTGTTGGGGCTCGAAACGCCCGACGCCGGCCGGCTGACGGTGCTCGGCTTGTCGAGCCGAAAGGAGGGCGACGCCATCCGCCAGCGCATCGGCTACGTCCCCGAACGGCCCACGCTGTACGAGTGGATGACGGCCGCCGAGATCGGCTGGTTCACCGCGGGCTTCTACGCCGACGGCTTCGAGCAGCATTACCGCAACCTGCTCGACTTCTACCGCGTGCCGCTGAAACGGAAGATCAAGCACATGTCCAAAGGCATGCGCGCGAAGGTCGCGCTGGCCCTGGCGATGGGGCATCAGCCCGAGCTGCTGGTGCTCGACGAACCGACGTCGGGACTCGACACCTTAGTGCGGCGCGAGTTCCTCGAAAGCATGGTCGATATCGCCGCCGAGGGCCGCACCGTGCTGCTGTGCAGCTC